TCCTTATGGTGGGCCTCTCTAATCTGAGCGAGCTCTCAGCCCACTTTATGAAACCGGTGGGACCATGGAGCTGGTGCCGTACCACCAAACAATAAATGTTTTTTTTTTTTAACATAACAAGAAATGTTTTATTCTTAATATAAAATACGAGATGTTAATTTGAATTCACAATATTTTTGTCGAAGATAAAAATTTCAGATTTACATAACAATACATGTGGAGTGTGAATCGAACTTACAACTTCTTGCTTTGAGATATATGTCAATTACCGTTAAACTATGTTCCTTTGGCAACAAAAAAATATTAGTTTGATAGTTGAATATATAATACATGTAATATATAATTTTGTTTTACCATTTTAAAAATATATAATTTTGTGATTATATAGAAGTGTTTTTATTGTTAGAGATGATTATACTAGTTCCATTGATGTTTTTAAGTTTATCCAAGTATTGAGTTTGGACTGATCTTTTTAATTATATGTCCAATTTATTGTTGTTTTAATGTTTTTTTCTTTTAATTGGGTTAAGAAAATGATATAATTTAATTTTACATGTTCCATTGATTGATTTTTTTTGTCAATTAATGATTAGTTCATAGCATTTAAAATGTTCAAATTATCACACCAAAAATTGAATGTTCATATTGTCTCGTTCAAATATGTGTTTTTTTATACACTTCCTAAGCCTTTTATCTTTGTACTATTATACTTTTAATTTTTTTAATTTATATGAGTTTGATTATTAAATGTTGTAATATTTAGGTGTGTTTGAGATAATATTTCAAAATTAAAAAATTAAGTTAAAACATTTGAAGAAATAATAATAAAATACATCCTCCTATTCCTTAATAAAGTACTTATAATTTTAAAGTTCGTCGAACATACTTGAATTTTTTGACACCGTAAAAATTCAAAAAGGTTTTTATTTATTCAGTATATTTTTAAAATGGTATCAAATCCACTCTTATTCTTTTCTATTTGAATGTAAAAAAAAATAAAAAAAAAGGAAGCACATATGATGTGAAGTTTTTAAAATTGCATGCATCATATATGAGATTGGACTTTCATCTTTAAAAAATATATAATTATATATATATATATATATATATATATATAAAAGTTAAAAAATGCTTATGGTATTTGTAGATTAATTGATGTAACAATTTAATCCTTATATTTTAGTGTGTAATGATTTAATCAATGTATTTTTAAAGTGATAATAATTTAGTGTTTATAATTTATAGTTTGTAACAATTTAGTCCCTGTCATAAAATATTTTAATTTGGTTTCTTCTGTGTGTAGATTGATTAAATAAATATTATATTGTTAAATAAATAAAATAGATCCTTAATTTTGATGAAATTTTTCACAGTGGGTATTAGATTGTGACAAACTTTGAATTCATGAACTAATTTGTTATATATTAAAGTTGAAGGACTAAATTGTTACATACTAGGATTTAGAGGCTAAATCATCATTATTTCAATAAAAATATAGGTATTAAAATTAATTTTCTATATTGACATGAGCTTTGCTCAATGGTTAAGACATTTTGTTCCTTATTTACACAGGAAATAAAACTCTGTTGAGATCCCTTTGTTTATTTTCAAATATTTTATTAATTTAGTTCGTCCATGGGTGTCTTTGCCATAAGATAAATTCATTGGTGTATATGTGTAATTTACTAAACAATAATGGTAGAATAAAGTAATGTTAGTGCCTATTGTGACAACGACCATAATAATTAAAATAGAGATGGAAAAATATAAATATTCCAAAGGTGTATAACATAAATAGTATTTTTTAGAAGATTTAAAATTTTACCGAAAGAGAAAAAAAAAAGAAAAGAAACACATAATTCGAATCAAGCTCGATTTTAAATATCTTATCAAATTAAAAAACTGCATTTACATTATATTTGAAAACAAAATGAAAAGTTTTGAAGTTACATATTAAATTTATGCTACCATTGAAACTTCAAACATACCAATTCGAATATATTTGCATTTGTATTTTTAGAGTACTGCGGTAATATGATAAATGCTTCAAGAAACTTTGATGTACTAAAAAAAGGTTTATGAACTTTAAAGAAAATTACTTAATTAGATCTATGTTCAAATATGCGATTAAATAAATTTTTTTTTGTGAATAAAAATTAAGTAAATGGACATGAACTATATTACCGTTCTTTCTAATGGAACATTTTTTTTAACAGCATGGCAACCTTCTGAATTTGAAAATATAGCAACAAATTAAAAGAAAATTAAGCCCAGCTCCATATAAAATAAAAAAAATACCATTTAAACGTCTATATATATATTAATTAATCATATATTATATCATTGATATATGTCTATCATTTATAAACAGCTATATTAGTAATAACGTACATGGGTGATAAATGTCGATATAGTTTAATACTAATAAACTTAGATGAATGATATACGAGAATAAAAATATAATTAACGAAAAATGGTATAAACAGTTATACAATTTATTTTTTTAATTGTCATTTTTAATAAATCATAATCATGTTACTATATCTTAAATACAACTGCCACCCCTCCAAAATTTCCTTTCCTTTTCAAAGGTTGAGGAAAAAAAAAAAAGAGTTTACAACGATCATAGAAGAGATTAACTAATTTTTTAAATGGAAAACCAACTGTCTTTCCTTAAACCAGAATCTTATCACATAACCAACAAAATAATACTAAATAGATATAATTATGGGGCCAAGAAAAGCCATAGCCACTAAATAAAAATAAAATAATAGACATTATTAAAGCGTCCATAATTAAACATCAATTAAATAACAATTGTAACCCATAATTCAATCAAGGACTTTCGACACTTGGGCCCAGCCAATTTCATTTAAAAAATTACCAATCAATGTAGTGAGCAACTTTCACTAACATTTTTTTTTTATTTTGCATTACTAATCTATTGGTTGCATTTAAAAAATGTATATATATTTTTAACTATTATTTGAATAAAATTTTCACTGTTCCATACTTATTCCACTCTAATATATTTTTAAAATTAAATTAAAATATTATCTACGAACTAATTATTAAGTTATACAAGATTAAATCAGAAATACATATTCATATTGAAATTTATCTTAAAGTTGATTTTGATTATTGAACTTTTATAATTGTATCTATGGCCTCGTTATCCACACCTCTGGTCGGATGAATGGAGGACCGACCGACCCGGGTTTGAATGAGCGTTGGCGGGTCCTGGAGTGCCTGTCAAGGGCTCCCGCGCATACCCCGGAGTGATCATCACCACCTGCACCTCACATCTCGACACAGTGGAACATTAATATTTAAAAAAAGTCCATAATAGGCCGTTCAACCTTCAAAATTGTATCTATTTGGTCTTTGCATTGTTATAGATCACTGTATCTATCGGTAATTTTGTTGAGCTCATGCCACACTGTAATTTTTAAACAATATAATTAATAGTTAGTTTGAGTATATTGTTGTAATTTTTAAACAATATAATTAATAATTGTATCTATTAATATTTAAAAAAAAGAATTATTACACAGCCAATTAAAAATTCAACAATATATTAAAAGTTTTAAATAACGAAGATTAGCACAACCTAAAAAATATAATGATGTATTATAATTTTTCTAAAGTATAAATATTAAAATGGACATAATTTTGAAAATTAATGGACACCAAGTAATTTGTCAAAAAAGAATTATAATTACAAATTAAAAACAGATGTTGAGAATCGGCCGCTTAAATTAGAGAAAGTCAAAATCCACGGACCCATCTTGTTTTTCTGCCTTCTCTCTTAGTTATTTTACTTATTATTATTATTTTTATGACGCTCTCTTATAAAAATTAGACTTCCACCTAGGGTTTCAAATTTCGAACGACACGTCGAGCGATATGTCGAATACTTCGACATTGATATAGAAGAAGAATGTCGTTTTTCCTTCAATGTCGATGATATGTCGAGAAAATGTCGTTTTTTTTACTTATATCTCTAAATTGATTTTTTTTTAATAATTTGAAAAGATATACTCACTAGTGGTATTGATGGATATTTCGGTTAAATAATTTGAGAATACATGTATAGTTTGTTTGGATAGATAACATAGGAATTGATTTTTTCCCACAAAAAACGTGTTTTTTAACCTTTTGTGACATTTTTCCTTTTGTTTTCAACCATTTTTACTGTTCATTAGCATAAAAAAAATCCAAATTCTAGTAGTGTTTGTTTCCATCTTTTTATCTCGACAAACCTGGTAGTAAATAAATAAATCTTACGAAAAAAATCAAATCTTTTCTAAAACAAATTAAGGGTGTTTTCCTCATTCAATGTTTATTTGAATTAGAAGAAAATATCATGTTTGGTATTAGTTAAATTATATCACCATTATTTGTATATAATAAATTTTATTTCTCAAAATTTATACCTATTTCGTATATCTTGTTTAATTATTGAAATAAAGATTAGATTTGATTATAAATTATTGGTAGAACATAATCAATTATCAATAACTTTAATTTACTAATTCAATCGCAATGACATTTTCATAAGTATATTATTGATATATTTAGATATGATTATCAAAATTGAACAATTATAAGCTATTTAAGCTACCATTAAAGTTCTATTTACTAATTCAAAAATTTTGCATCAATATCCACAATTTCCGTATTTTTCTTGAAATATCCATCGACATCGATATCTCAATCGACACATCCATAAAATTGGGACCATGACAGTTACTGATTTAGAGTGTGTTTAGTTTAACTTTTTGAGCTATAGTTTCTATAATTTAAACTCTCACTTAATTTAGGGAATTCAATTTGAATTTCTTTGTCTGAAATATTTGGTGACTTCTATTAAAGATAAGATTTTGTAACCTTAATTTTTTCAAGAAAAAATACTTATAATTAAGATACGTTATAAAATCCTATTTTTTTCTTATGTTTCATATTAGAACTCGATTATGATTTAAACATTAGAGTGGATGTTGCTAACACTACCCAAGCGTATAATTTTTATATTTGGCAGGTTTTGTGGAATCATTTTAATTTTAATTTAGAAGTCGGATAAATTCAATTCATGAAAGAATATGAGCATTTTCTAAATAAATAATAGGTACGGATATATTCATGCAATGTAGCAAAAAATTTAATTAATTACCATGAAGAATTTAAAATCATTATTTATGTTTCAAATCTGAAGTCAAATCATTTCCTAAACTTATCTTGATTTGATGGTGGTGGCCAATCCGCAGGCTGTTCTAATTTTTCCGGCGGCGGATCAGCAGGCACTGGCAGCAGTTGATAGGCCGGCATCATCGTGGTCTGTCATCACCCAACTTTGGATGATGAGAATAATCGTACGACGGACCCATCTTGTTTTCTACCATTTTTCTCTTCTAACACGTAATTAGAGAGATAAAAGAGAGGGAAATGGCTACAAGGGGGAGATTTCGCTACCATTTCTGTTCTGTTAACAAGAAGGTTGAAGCAGATGATGTTTAGGCTGTCATAAATCGTGTTGCCGATCAAACTTCATGGATTTATCGGTAAATGCTCGATGCCTCCAGTTCTTTCATTGACGCATTTGAAACTAGCGTTTTATTTGTTTATTTTGAAAATTTAAGACGAATGAAGTTGGTTGGGTTCTTCCCCTGGTTTTGTGGTTGACAGAGATCAAGCTTCTTCACGGTGAGCGAACGGATCTGTGCGGCATTTATACCACTCATTGGCGTTGTAGAGGCCTTGATTCTGGCGATGGCTAGGTGCTTCGATTGCCGCCCTGAGAGTGACAAGGGTCGCCGCCACCGCTTCAGCGATCTTTCCCAGCTTGCTAGTGAGACCAGATGTAAGGGTTTCTCTCGATGTTTCTTTTTGAATGTTCATTTATCTAAGAGACTAGACACTGCTGGAATAATCTGACGAACTTCGAAGGGGATTTAATTTTTTTGCTTTGGTGTGATGCAGTTTCTACCAATGAAGTGGAAGCGTTGTATGAGCTTTACAAGAAGTTGAGTAGTTCGATAATTGATGATGGGTTGATTCACAAGGTATTGGTTATGAAGTTTCTGGCTCCCTAGTATGATTTTTTCCTCATATATTCCATGGTTTCTTTTGATTTACTTGGGAAGCCACCTGCACTACGCAGCAATCTTTAAGTTACTCCTCCCCGTTTAAAGTTCTGAAACATTTCATGGACGTGTGCTGGGGATTTGAGTTGTAATTGTAGTTGTAACTGGCAATTGATAGCTCTACTACTACCTAGGACTTGGATTTGGGGTTGAGAGACATCAATAATTTTTGGTATTAAGCTGAATCAAGAGTTTGAACACAAGACTTCGTGATGCCATGAGGCACTATGTCCGTCAATGGAGGCATTATGTCCGTCAATGGGGCTGTCCCTTGGGAATTGGGTCATTGAACCAGAGAGGGAACTTCATGCCAATTAGAACATCAATCGCTTGGGGCTCTTGCTATTTATAGCTTCGTGCTGTTATAGATTTTTATTTTGGTTTGGTTGTAATTTTGAGATTTGATTATCCTGTAGGAGGAGCTTCAGTTGGCACTTCTCAGAAGTCCGTATGGCGAGAACCTCTTTCTGGACCGGGTAAATTCAATAAAATAGATGTATCAAAGCCACTTTTCTTCATAAAATTTATTTGCATAATGGTATGACCACAAGACACATATTTGATGAATACAATACTAAAATTGAAAAACAACTCCTTACTTGCCTTAGTTTGTAGATTCCATGCTATCTAAGCACGAGTAAATATAGAAATATGTCAAGTAGCTGAGATGATATTGATGACTGATGCAAGTCACGGTCATCATCTTCTTACTTATTCTGCTCAAGGTTTTTCAATCTTTATATTTCTATAACTATAACTTTGATCATATAATTTACTTATTTGATTTAGTTTTACATGTGATTTATTGCTGGTACAAAGGTTGCTAACTTGTTGTAGCAGTCCAGGGAAAAGTGGAATCACACAAAATAACATTGAGTCCTATATAAATTTTAGGATATAATCCTAATACTGACATATGAAGTTACAATTTTAGTTGTATTCATATGGCATTAGAGGTATAGGAAAAGACAATTTGAGCTGAAGCTATTTACAGAAGTTGCTGATCAGTTTGAAGGTCACAGCATTTTTTCTCCTGTACTGTCGGAAGAACAACTACCTTAAGATTCTACAGAAAGTATAATGGCCAGCATTAATACATCTCCCGATGTACATTGATCCTAACATTATTTTGAGGAAATTTCCAAATTTCTTTAACTTAATGGTAATCTCAATTAAATCTTTAAATTTCTTATTTGATTATGTTAAACTCTATCTTTACTAGAGTATATTGAAGGTACAAAAGTGGCTATATCTTGGGTTAAAGCTCCTAAACATATTTGCACGATTAAAAGTCTCTCTTTTATATATCAAAAGAGAAAAAAAGGGTTTTTGGGTCAAAAGGATTCTTCATCCACAATTTGATTAACCATGGCACTTCCTGATCTCTAAATTACTGCTCTTTTACTTGACATTTCATTGCTTTGTCCTTAGGTTTTTGATCTTTTTGATGAAAAGAAAAATGGAGTGATTGAATTTGATGAATTTGTCCATGCTCTCAGCGTCTTCCATCCCCATGCACCTATGGAGGAGAAGATTGACGGTAAGTGTAAGAGAGAATTTGTTTGGTTACTACCATCTTGTATGTAGTTTGATCTTTGCCTGTGTATGATTTCTTGTAGCTGCATTTAAGATGTATGACTTGAGGCAAACCGGGTTTATCGAGCGTGAAGAAGTGAGTACAATATAAGTAGTCCGTGCTTATGATTGTTTCTCAAACTGAGGAGTTAGCCAGTTTACTTTTTGAGGTGTGAAATGACTAGGAATTTTGCTGGCTTCAGGTTAAGCAAATGCTTGTTGCAATCTTAATGGAATCTGATACAAGATTATCAGATGAACTTCTCGAAGCAATCCTCGACAAGGTACAGGTCGAAACTTGCCCATTTTTATTCATTTTCTATACTTTCTGAAGCTTCTAATGCTCATAGTACATGCAGACATTTGCCGAGGCTGATGCTGATAAGGATGGAAAAATCAGCAAGGAAGAATGGAAGGCCTTTGTTAGCAAACATCCGTCTCTGTTAAAGAACATGACTCTTCCTTATTTGAAGTAAGCAACACTTCAACCCTCTAAAATTTATCATCCTCCTCAGGTTTATCAACTATTTTCGCGATCTTATAAATCAAGAGTGTTCATTAACGCGGTTCAATCTTTCAGAGATATAACAACAGCATTTCCCAGTTTTGTTTTCAACTCCGAGGTTGAAGATTAGAGATTTCACCACATTGATGTTCAAGCGAGCCACTTTGATTGTAAAATGGAAGTCACTGGACTGTGCTTATGAGAATGTCTTAGTTTGTGGCGGGCTAATATCGAAAGCAGGATCGGTTAGAAGAAGCATCCATTCATCGGTTCGAAGAAAGATCGATGAGGAGGTATTTCTCCAGTGATTCCATCTTATGGATGATCCAGATTAAGTATAGTAGTCATCTTTTCCTGGCTTTGTAGAGTATTCTTGGCGGCAGCAGCATTGTTATTTCTTTTCATGGGAAATGGTTCATTTTCTGGAACAGCAACACTAAGCAGAAGTGATTTGTCTGCATTTGAATGCACTTCTGATTTGACATTGACATCTTTTTACTTTTGACAAATATGTTTATGTTTGGATAAAATGTATTTTAATCATTCAAGATTACTAGTTTCTATTTTGATCATTCAATTTGAAAAACTACTACTTGTTGCTCCCTAAATTGAGTCGACCATTAGTTGACTTAACGGAATGATGACGTGATAATTAATACATGTTTACTATATTTTGTTAATTAGGCAAAAGAGAACGAAGAACGTCATAAGGTTGACTAACAATCAACTTAATTCACGGACCAATTAGAAATCACGATAAAACTTTAGGGACCAATTAAAACTAAATTTATACGACTAGACATGTTATATCTATGGGTGCCCGCCCGGTTGACTTGCGCACACCTTGATCAATCTCCAATCCTAGGACATTTGGTTGCCAAGGAAATTCGTAAGATATTATAGCCTTCATTACATAATTGATTGCATATATTGTTGATCAAAAAGTTAGAGATACGAAGTTCCACCGCCACATATTGCAAAATAAAAAAAAATGGTATGTAAATTAAAGTCTTGAGTGCATAATTTTATTTGTGGAATATATTAGTTTGATTTAATTTTAGGTTACCTTATACAAAATAGCCCAATACTTTACCGTAGATTTTAGTTAAAGTTTCATTTCCATCTTCATTAATGAAGATGGAAATATGAAGTAACAGTAAATTGTAAGAATATATAACTATGTCTAAATTTTAGGATAAAATTGTTCAATACTCCCATGCTATCTACCCTCCATTCGCACTATTAATTTTCTTTTGTAAATAATTCTTCTACATTCTTAGACCTCACATCATTCTTAAATGATAAGAATTCAAACGGGAATCTATACTACTATAAAATATTAGGGGTATTGTTTTTGTTTTTTTTGTGATAATCTAACCTTAATTTTAATACAAACCATGGAGATTTAGATTTGAACTCAAATGGAGCATCTTAAAAGAGAGCTGCTCTAATTGGCGTCCACGTGCACAGTAGATAATTAAGAAGAATTTATTCTCTAATCTCTCTATGGCATCCCATTCCATTACTGCCTCCGCCTTCTCTCTCGGCTCTGGCTCTGGCTCTGGCTCTGGCTCTTCTCTTTGATCTCTTCTTCTGAGCTTTTCAATCGGCGCTCTCGCGGCAATGGCGGATAAACCCAGTCGAGCTCTAGTTATTTTCGGTGATGGGTTGGCTCGTTTCGTCGATCAATCTCACGCCCATCTCCATTCTCTCGCATCGCTAGCTTCCTGTGGGTTTTTGTCACTTCCGAATGCTCCTCCTTCAGGTTCTATCACCGCCTCTCGCTTGCTTATTCTTGCCTTCTTTCGCTCCCTTTTCTATTTAATTGATGGAATTTCTTTTCTGGGTAAGCAAGAGAATCGGTCATCATTCAAAATTAAGCCCCCAAATTACTTCGCCCTTACTTGGCGCGGAATAAAAGTTGTTTTTGATGAATTTGATGCTGGATTTTGATCGTCCTTAGTTAATTTTCTGACCCATTTGGGAGGACAGCAGCGTTTTTTAAGATTGGGGCGATATGTTTCATGGCCCATTGAATTACTCGATGCCATCCTTTTGAAGTTTAATCTGATATAAATATTTGGTTCAATGTCTTCCAAGTTCTCTCATGCTTATGTTGCCATTGCAGTGAATGTGAACTTGTGAAGTAGGGAACACGACGGATATAATATATAGGATAATTTTGTTAAGCAACCTTTTTATTAGCCGCTTCTCTTAGATACAGGTGTTTTTTTTCTTACCAGAATTCTTAGCTCGATTTATTGATCAAAACATAAAACCTGAGTAAATTCAATTGCTTATATCTACCTAGTACTGGGATTTATTGGATGTTTTAGATTGCAGAGTGTGAGGAAAAGCGGATGATTAGAGAGCTTGCGCTTCTATTCGATGCATGTGACTTGTACGTCAATAAGGTATGATATTTTTTCTCTTTGAGCGTCGAGGACTGGATTTTACAATGAAAGATAATATTGGGTTTTTCAGAATGGGGACAGTGGTGAAGGGAATAGTCAGAGGAAGTCCATATCTGAAAGGTAATTGTATCTTTCTGGTACCTGTAAAATTGATGTCATATGTAGGATAAATTTAGTAGCTGGTTTATGAACATATTGGCTTGTGTGTTTATGTTGCTTCTTTAGGTTCATGGCAATGAGAGCTGCAATACTGACGAACAATTCAAGTGCACAACATTTTGGCTCTGAACTTGGTGCATCTTTGTTGCGATTGGATGAGTTGATGCAAACGAACCATCTCGGGTTGCCACCAGTTGACTTTCTGGCCACTGAATTGCTGAAGAAGCTTGGTTTTCAAGATGGGAAGATACAAGATAGCAGTGAGTTCGATTTATTGTTTGTGCATGTAGGAGTTGGTGACAAGGTTAATGATGAGAAAGACAAGACGACTTTGGATGAAATAAAATATGTTGATGCTTTGGTTGGTGATATATTGCAAAAGGCTCAGCCTGGATCTGAAATTGGTTCTCGTCTGCACTTGTCCCTTGTGATGAGCTATGGCAACATCTTTAAGGATGATGACTGCAGCTTGTCTGTTTTGAATACCAAAGATGTGAAAAATTCTGATTTGTCAGTGCTATTTCCTCGTCAAAGTTACACTATGAAGGGGGAGATCCAGCGGAATGATGTGCGGTGAGTAAAAAATTACGGTTTTTTTTTTCCTTTGATTGATGGTTTTTTGAAATTTTACTGGCTGATATCCCTTCCATGATCTGATATTTTGTCATGAACAAGGCATCATTCACCCATGTTAGCTGCTCAGTGGCAATATGGCGTAACCCGCAAAGATAAAGCAGAAACATTTTCTTTCAAGGAGTTTAAAGAGGTAGAGTTTAATATAATCAGACCTGATTGTGCATGCTAAGCAAAGATCCATATTTTTCTTCTTTTGCTCCCATTGTTTTGACAGTGTCGCTCATCCATCTATGGAAGTTTATATCATCTTTGTTGGTCTTTGAAATACTTAAGCGTTTCTGCCTTGGGACTTGGGGCGTGTTAAGAGTTTTTTTTTTCTCTGTGAAGCACTTATTTTATAAACACTTTTGGGAAAAAAAACTAAATGTTTCATCGGAAAGCACATAAAAGGCATGCTAAAAACAAACTAACAATAAGCTTGGTCTTGATGAGTTCTACACCTAACATCACCATAATGTCAATGTTATTATTTTTTATCATCTTAAATGCTGGAACTACATGGAAATTCGATATTCTTAGATCAGAAGTTCAATTTTGAACTTTTAGTTAGTCTAATGGTCCAACTTTTTTTTAACCTTTTATTCTTTTAAAATTGTGTTGCTTGCATGATGTGCTGTTTTTACGCTCGACATAAATGCAAGAATCAAATTCCATATTTTTCTCATTACAAATTGAACTTTTCAAATCTGATTTTCCTCGCCCGTGCTTGATTGGATGGTTTTGTCATATGTTGGTTTGAGGCATTTATAAGTTTACATTTCTGTTTCAGCAAGGTAGCAACCTAGTAATACCAGCAGATAGATTTATACATGAGGTAGCATTTAAGCTTTGGAAGGCCCCCAAGTATGGAGCTTGAGATGGGCATGGGCAACACTTCAAGACCATTTCGAAATAAGTCCCTCAAAAGCACAAGCTTTGAAAGAGGGAACACATTGCCAAAAGCTCTTTATGGATTCCAAATACTTTTGCTTATATTTTGATTCTTGGGAAAGGAAAATGCACGTCCTGTAATTTGTCGTAGATAATGGCTTCTGTTTATAACAACTGCATTGTAGTGAAAACTCCAGTTTCAATTTGGAAATGTACTGCAAATGAGTTTGCCTTTTAAGATGAGAGATTCATTTGTTAAAGCAAAGAGGACAGGAAAAAAGAAGGGTGCAAGGGTGACAATTACTACAATAAGTTGTGGTTGCAATCAGCAACAATGTTGTATTGCAGCAACTTGTAATTTTTAACATRTCAGGAAAGTGAAAATGACAAATATGAATATTGGCAACGTATGTACACAGGATCAGGAGTAGAGAGAAGATATAATATCATTGAGAGTCTTGCAGGAAGAAGTGTTGAGCAGGAAACTAAGCAGTGGCTGCTGCTGCTTCTTCGACAACCTGATTCGCTGGCTGTAGGGTGCATATCAGGTTGCGATCACCATACACATTGTCAACACGTCCTGAAACGACCACAAAGATTCCATTATCAGTAAGAGGAGGGGAGTAAATGTCGACGAAAACTAGGCAGTGACAATTGAATAAGTTTGTGTACCTGTGGTTGGCCAGAACTTGGAAGCCCTGAGCCAGGAAGCTGGAAAAGCTGCATATTCCCTAGAGTACGGCTTTGTCCATGCATCTCCCATTAGCAGAGATGGTGGATGAGGAGCACACTGCATTTAATGAAGGCAAATATGATCCTTGTTTGGGTCTGTCTATTAGATGAAAAATTGTTGAACTATGGTGAAGACCTCACCTTTAGGACATTGTTGTTGATATCAGCTTTTCCTTTCTCGATCTGGGCGATTTCTTCTCTGATCGAAATAAGAGCATCACAGAATCTATCCAACTCGGCCTGCAAAATATGTTCAATAGCCGGGAGTGAGACGTAAAGTGAGGTGGAAAGGAAAATAGAAAAAGTAACGGAATCGGGTGAGAGGATATGTGAAAAGGAAGGCTACCTTGCTTTCACTTTCTGTGGGTTCGATCATGAGTGTGCCTGGTACTGGCCATGACATGGTGGGTGCATGGAAACCGTAGTCCATTAGACGTTTAGCAACATCTTCAGGCTCTATTCCAGCAGTTTGCTATCACAATTGCACAACAAAAATGGGCCAACAGTTTGGAATAAACTTCGACAAAGACTCTGAAGTAAAAAGTTACCTTGAAGCCTCTCAAGTCGATGATGAATTCATGGGCAACCGTTCCATTGACACCACGGAAAAGAACAGGGTAATAGTTCTGCAGTTTCCAAAGCAAATAAAAAGGCTCATGAGAATTGAAAGTCAGCAGAAATTTTAGCATCTATTCTAAACCATGTACAAGGCACCAAACTCTCAAAAGAATCAAGAACCTCTAAACGTTTGGCCATGTAGTTTGCATTCAGAATAGCGATCTTAGACGCATCGGTCAGACCCTTGGACCCCATCATGGCTATGTAAGTGTAAGATATTGGGAGAATAAGGGCAGAGCCCCATGGGGCAGCAGCTATAGTTCCAAGAGGCTGTGCGTTGTCAGGAGCAGGTATGCCTCCAGTAGGAATCTTCAGAATACAGAGTGTAAAATACCAAATCAACGGTCAAGTAACAATATCTACTGTACAGGAAATAAGATGGCAATGAAATGAAAGAGTGAGATATGTTACCACAGGATGTGAAGGCAAAAATGGAGCCAAGTGCTTCTTGACACCAATAGGACCCATGCCAGGGCCACCTCCTCCATGGGGAATGCAAAATGTTTTGTGGAGATTGAGATGGCAAACATCAGCTCCAATCCAACCTGGGCTTGTTAAACCCACCTGAACACAACCAAAATCTACTGTCAATGAAGAAATATTTGATTGCAAGTGAAGGAAACAGAATATGTGAGAGACAAGGAAGAGATGCCTGGGCATTCATGTTGGCACCATCCATGTAGACTTGGCCACCATTGTCGTGAATGATCTTGCAGATCTCGTCGATCCCTTCTTCGTAAACTCCATGCGTCGAAGGATACGTAACCTATCAAACCAAACCAATTGCTCAACTTTTACTTTACACATTTACCTCTAGTTTACACTTACTCACTCACCATCAGAGCTGAGAGGTTCTCCTTGTTGGCTTCTGCAGCCTTCTTCAGCTCTGCAATGTTTATGTTCCCCTTTGAATCTGTCCCCACTGACACGATCTTCATTCCGCACATTGCTGCACTTGCTGGGTTCGTCCCGTGGGCCGATAGCGGAATGATACACACATTCCGGTGGTGGTCTCCTCTTGCCTGCAAATGTTTGAGTTATTACATACATAGTTTGCCAATGAACTTCTTTTCTTTTGTTTTTCTGAGAAATGCTACAAATAAATTGAACTTGAAGCAAGGAGAATTTCTGAGAGGGATGTAGAATTTCTCAGCTCGTGACAATATTATTTTTTCTTGAGTACAACATGTGGGGTGAAAATTTGAACTCGCAACTTCTGGGATGAAAATATATACCAATTACTATTGCGCTATGTTCGCTTTCATCATTCGTGACAATTTCTTTACAAAATATACCCAAATCACTATTTGGTTTTTTATTTTAGATTTTTGGAAAATATGCTCGTTTGATAAGCTTTTTTTTTCTGTTTTTGAAAATTTGAAAAATGTTTTTGAAATTATAAATAGTTTTTTATTATTACAAAATTTATATTTTTTGAAATTTCATATTTTTTCTTCTCAACACTCTTCCTCACTTTAACATATTTTCTCTCCCGTCTCCAACATACCTCTCTCTAAAATCTCTCTCATTTTCTCTCCCATTTCTAACTTTTCTCTAACTTATGTTTTCTCTTTCATAAATCTCTTTAAACTTCTCTCTATATTATTTTCTATAAATGTTATTTCTCTTTTTCTAACTTGTATTTTTCTAATTTTTTCTCACTCTTCCCTCCCCATAACTTATTTTTCTCTCTAGTGTAAATATAATGATAGAACTATAGAATCGTACTTATAAAATTTTGTATATATATATATAATAATAATAAGATCGTAATTGGATAGTTATAAAATAGTCGACAAAAAGTTGATTATTAAACAAGATCTTATTCATTTTCTCTTTGACAAGAAAACAGAAAATTAAAAATTGAGCAAATAATAATAAATATATCACACTAGATATTTTAAATGAAAAATAGTATTCATGCCATTTACTAATTTAATTAGTTTCCAAAAAATTAAATTTAAAAAGGAAACAAATTTGGATCAGGGTTGGGCGGTGCCTTACGAGTTAGGACTGCACAACAATTTATTATTATTATTATTATTATTATTATTATTATTATTATTTTGCAAAGGAAGAAAAAAGACGCCCGTTGTCATAAAAAAAAAAATTTATAACTAAAAAAAAGTGATTGCTACTTACAACCAAAAAATTGATACCTATTTATTCTATTTTCTCTTTCGATCTCCGTATGCATCCATCTTTTTCGGTCATCAATTTTTTTTATCTAAAAAAAGTTACCTTATGGTAAGCACGAATGACCATGAGGCCAGCATACTCTCCAGCGGCACCAGCATTTGGTTGCAACGAGAATGAATCAAACCCAGTTATCGAGCATAACAGGTCACCCAAATCACTGAACATCTCCTGCACATTTGCAATTGCAAACAACAATAACCACATCAATTCGACTTCTCAGATTAGTGTCGAATCATCCGATAGCATAAGATGTTTCCTTTGTCCCTCCTAAACAAGGTAACTAACTACCTGATAGCCCTGAGACTGTTCAATGGGGGCAAAAGGGTGAAGGTCGGTGAAACCGGGCCACGTCACGGGCATCATTTCCGCCGTGGCATTCAGCTTCATCGTGCACGACCCGAGCGGGATCATACTGTGGCATAGCGAAAGGTCCTTTGACTGCAACTTATGGATGTACCTCAGCAGTTCATGCTCTGTGTGGTACCTGATGCAGCAGCATATAAGACACATGTGAACTTCCTGTTTTAGTGATGATTTGATGTTTGTTATTAGGATTACGGAGGATGCGTACGAGTTAAAGATCGGGTGGCTAAGGTACGGGCTCTCCCGTACTAGCCCTGAAGGGATAGCGTTCTCGACCTCGGGCGCAAGAGATGCAGCGGTAAATGGAACCTGTACAAGAACAACAACAACATAGATATACTCGCACATGAAAATGAGATCATGGAAAGAAGACTGTTATGGCAAATTTAGATACAAATACTCACTGCCTTTCCACCAGAAAAAACTGAAAACAGGTTATCAACATCCTCCAAAGTTGTCGTTTCATCGAAAGCAACAGTGATCTGAAAGACAATCCATTAGTCGTTAGTCACACGACATGAGATGAATTTTATTAAACGATCGATGCAACAGATAGTTACCGTGTTTTTGTTGATGATTCGCAGATTAATCCCACTCTTGTTAGCAGCATCTGCAATTGCATTTGCATCAGCAACCTTAACCTTCACAGTGTCAAAGAAGGGAAGAGCTTGAACTTCTGCTGCGCCCAATTTCTTCAGTCCGACAGCAAATGCACCAGCAAGACCATGAACTCTCTCTGCAATGGCTTTGAGGCCTTTTGGTCCGTGATATACGGCGTACATCGCAGCCATGTTCGCCAGTAACGCCTGCACAAACGAACATACGTTTGAAGCAAAAGCCAACTCACAATAACATACATAATAACTAATCCATGCTTCACAAAATGAACACAAGAATTGTAATCTCAATACCTGAGCAGTACAAATGTTGCTGGTAGCCTTGTCCCTCCTGATATGCTGCTCCCTCGTCTGCATCGCCATACGAAGCGCAGGCTTGCCCGACGAATCGACACTGACACCAATAATTCTCCCTGGCATCATCCTCTTATATTCTTGAGAGGTGGCCAAAAAAGCAGCATGAGGACCTCCATACCCCATTGGAACACCAAACCTTTGTGCAGAACCAACAACGATATCGGCCCCCAATTCACCTGGTGACTTCAACAGCGTCAACGCCAGAAGATCGGAAGCCATCACAACCTTAACCCCATTAGCATGAGCATTCTTAACGAACTCCCCATAGTCCAACACCTCCCCCTCAGTGCCAGGATACTGAACAAGAACACCACAAACATCGCCCGACTTGTAATCGATATCCTTAAGATCAGCAGTCACCACTTTAAGATCGAACCCCGCCGCTCGAGTGACACAAATATCAATCGTTTGCGGGTGGCAGTTATTTGAAATTATAAACGTTTTCTTCTTCCCCTTGAGGATGTTGTTACACATTGCCATGGCCTCAGCAGCCGCAGTCCCTTCATCAAGCAATGAGGCATTGGACATGGGGAGACCAGTGAGATCTGTGATTAAGGTTTGATAATTAAGCAGAGATTCAAGACGACCCTGAGAAATCTCAGCCTGATACGGCGTATACTGAGTATACCAAGCAGGATTCTCCATTATGTTCCTCAAAATAACAGGCGGAACAAAAGTATTATAATACCCCATCCCTATATAAGACTTGAAAATCTTGTTCTTAGAAGCCAAATTCTGCATATGTTCAATCATTTGGCTCTCCGTTAAACCCTCATCGAACTTGGAGAATTTCATGGATTGGAGCCTAATCGATTTGGGGACAGTGGCATCGACAAGGGAATCGAGGGAATCAAACCCACAAGACTCCGCCATTTTACTCTGTTCTTCAGGGGTTGCAGAGTTATGGCGACGAGGGAACGTATCGCTGGGTTTCAATGCCTCAACGGAAATCGAACGGCTCTGGGACCCGATTCCGATTCCATTTCGGGGGAGAAATGAATCTGAAATCCCCCCTCTGGATTTGGCGAAGGAATAAGGAGACAGCGAAGAGACGTACCTGGAAGGCGTGAAGGAAACAGGGGAGGAATTCAACAATGGCTGATCGATTTGACGGTGGCGTCTCGACGCTGAAACCAGATGCCTCAGCGTCGCCCGGTTGGCCAACCGCCGCGCCCGGTCCATGGTTTCCGCCGAAAGAGAGAAAAGAAATGGGGTTGTTGGGAACCAAAAAAAGCTTCGGCCTTTTTATCGAAGCTTTTTGGCTATGTCATTCCATGGAAGACTGAAGAGAAGGAGATAATATAGCCAACTTCACTCCTTTCCACAAACTAAGAAAAATTCAGTATTAATACAAAATTGCGTCCTTTTGTTGCAATGCAAGCAAGAGGGAGCTATCTTCATTTCTTCTTCGCCTCTTTTTTTTCCCTTATTTTTAATATCATAATTGAATTTTTTTAGTCATAGATCTAAATCATATCATCGATAATAAATACTTTATTTATTGAACTATATAGATATTTTTAGTTTCAATTTAGTCTCTTATATTTATTACATTTAAAATTTATCGAGCGAAAAATTTTAGAGAAAAAAGTAGGGACCCCCGAGAATTCTCGAGATTATCGATAGAAATAAGAGGACGAGATTTGGTGTAGGTGGTGGGTGGTGCGTGACGGCGCACCTAGGTTTGAAAAGGACAAGCTTTATTTATTTCTTTTTAATTAATTAATTGATATATTTTATTTTATTTTTTTATTTCTATGAGAGGAAAGCACAGCCAACCAAACCAAGAGAGGATCTTGGTGAGGAATGAATGGAAGAAAATGAATACCCAGAAGGGATTATGTTTCAATGGACATAAAGTTTCTTTCTCAATTTGGATAAAAGATCAGAGAAGATAAAATGGTGAGAAATTTTCATCAAAAAATAAAAATCAGAGGAAATTTGTTGGCAGAATCTCCTTCTCAATTGGGTCATCTTCAAATCCCATCTCATGG